AAAACAGATATCAGTAAAAGCTTTGAGGCCAATTTATCTTGCTATCTAAAATTATTTTAGCTTTGCTGCATAAATTAAATACATGTGTGGGTCCTTCTTTGCCAGATATTTTCTTGGATAACCTGGAGACACTGTTCATTCTCACAATGAATTCTGGAGAAATAGACTAACGAAGAGTCAAGATGTCTTTAATCATTTATTTCACACAACACTATTAGAGGGAATTATTGTTCCCAATATGTGGAGAGAATCTTACACTTGGAGCTGCAGCCAAGTTTTATTTATTTTATTTATTTTATTAAAACATTTCTATGCTGCCCCTTGCCGAAGCCTCGGGGCGGCTTACAACATCAAATAAAATACACAATAGAGAGATGTGGGCACTCCACACAAGCCCACCACAGGACTGCAAAATCTGTACCAGAAACAAGAAAAGGGTTCAGGAATCACATCATCATCATCTTATTTTATATTTTCCACCATGCAATTCAAACTGAGATAGGGTTCCTGGGTAGCACCCAGCACTACATAGACCAAAAAACAAAGACAGCTGGCTTCTGCTCTACACAAACTAAGGAACCTGTCTGGTTTGCACAGGATGAAAGTTTTGATTTAACTCCTGGATGTTATATTTTGCAAAATGAAGGATCATCAGTTGTCTGCTCCTTCCTTGTTCCCAATGGTCCTAGTAGAGTCCAGTCTGAATGTTCACAACCCCTTATTTGCCAGGAGCAAACCTATATATCATCATCCAATTCTGCAGTGGAAATTCAGTGGAAAAACAAAAATCGCTGTATTAATTATTCAGCTGCATCAGACCATCCATCATGTGGGATGTGCAGTACTAAAGTAGTCTGAAATTTTAAATAAGTTAAACAAATTATTTTATTAGCATAACTCTGATGAACAGTAGTATGTTGTGGGGGAGGTGGTTCCAAATCTTACAAATGCTTATATCACCAATAAATCTTGCACATACCAAATGATACCTCAAAGTGATTTTTTTAAACATAAAAATAAAATCAGGAGTTGTAGTCCAGTTGACATGCTAATGAATTTAGTCTCTGAAAATTAACTTAGAGAAATTAACAAAGGTTTTTCTTCATTAAGCTCAAAGCTCAGCCTGATCCAAACCTCTTAAGAAGGGGGGCAAACATCATCAATCCTTTGCCACATGCAGTCATCATGATTAGCTTACTGAAAGCCAATTAAATGGAGGAAACCTGCCTAGACAAGACAACTTAATTATTCTGTAAAGTTCAGCAGCAGATTCCACCACCATGACTCTGTATGCCCTTGCTGGCAGATTTAACACACAACTACTTTCCTATCTAGAAAAAGCTGCCTTGTTACGCTGCATATAGACTTCACCTGACTGATATCTTAATTGTCTCCTAGTTCCAGAGGAAAGAACTGTTTCATACTGATGCTGAACAGTCGTTCCATTTATGATGCTTATTTTTATCATTCTATCTTAATTTCACAACCTGCCAGAAAGTTCTGGGCTCAACTTTATTTGGCATATTTTGATTTCCCTTAGCTAAAATGCACACACAAACAAGGTAACAATACTCCAGAAAATGGCTGAGTGTAACGCCATCTGCTTTGAGTACTAAGTGTAAAAGATAGGACATCTTTTCTATGTATTTGTTATTATTCTATGATTGTAAGGCAAGAAAAGGGGTTTTGTGGGGTTCCTCAGCAGCCTTTCAAGGCTGACTCCTTAAGATGTAGTCTTCAAAGTATGAACAAGCCTTTTATTTCTTATTTGGAATTTGCCTCACAAGTGCCACACTGAGGCCATGAATATTTTAACACGGGTTACACAGAGTGGCCTATGAGGAGATGAAACATACTGAGCCAAAATGTTGCCAGTCGGAACAAACAGCACCCCTGGTTCTCAACAGTGTGCGATCACACATCTTTCAACAAAAGGTCAATATTCATAATTCCTGATACAAGGCCCAGTTCAGAGTTTGAGGGAGCTCTTGATAGTGTCTTCATGTGGTTCCAGCTTACAGTGAGGTTTCTGGTGGGAGTAATCAAATCAGCAGCAGTACTTCAACCAGCACTGGGTAGTTTGGTGCTGCCATTTTATATTTCCCATGACACCCAATCTAGTGTTTCCCCAGGGCATTGTGGGAAATTTTAGATGGCAGCTCCAAATTACTTAGTTGCAGGGATGCTTGCAATGTCAAGCAGGTATCACTGTCATGATGAGCTGGAGTCTCTAGCACCTACCTAAAGTTGCTTTGTGCTAACCCTGTGAATCCAAACAAAGTTACACTGTAGTGTAAATACACATGCACAACCATCTAAGGTCTATGGCAATAACATCAGAATCTGGTTAGAATGAATCCAGCAAATTATTAAAATATGCAGTAATGCATTTTGCACAATTCATCTATGCTTTCAGAAGTATCAATGAAGACTGCCTGTATATTTCAAACAACCAGAAGGATTAGAAGTGATTTTTTAGAAGTGAGATGAACAAGAAAACTTTCAAATTTTACACTAGATTTCAGATTTTCTTTGCAATATATATTTTGCAGGAATTTCACATTGCCTGATGAAACCAATAACTGAGAATTAAAGGTTGATTGTGTGGTATTTTGCAAACAATTTTTCTCAGGAGCAGTATTTGCTATGTTCTTTTCAGACACTTTCTCTCCCTTTGCACAGTTATGATCTTCAGAATCATGTTTGATAATGACCACCCTTCTAGGTATGCAGTCCTAACAGCTGCATCATGTTTACCAGCCAAACAGTAACATATGAAGGGGACACCTATTCCTTTAAAACAAAAGAAACTGAACTCATGTATATTCTCACACGGTAACTAGTAAAGCACCAGTGCAGAGGGCAAGGCAAAAATGACTACCAGCCTGCCATTAGTTCAAGCTATCTACAATTGGTAGGACAACAAGATCACACCCCACCCATCCAAGCTTTCACATTTCAGCTCCAGGGCAGTGGCTTATAGAGTCAAACGAGATGCCCATTCCCAGAATTGTTTGCAGGTGAGCTGGATAGCTGCTGGGGGAATACCAGGCTTTCTTAATTCAGAATGTAAGGCTGTGGGAAGTAACAGATTTGAATAAGAGGAAGGAGGTCTTGGCCCCAGTATTGCTGCAATTGCTGATGCCTGGTGCTGTCATTATATGTTTTTCTGTGCCAGGTTAAGACCTTTTTATTTAATCAATAATTTAATATGTTTTAATATTGAATTTTATTGTTGTGTTTTATTAATTTGCAGCCAGTGTGGATGGTCAATTTATCTATGCAGTAAGCCATCCAGAGATGCAAGTAATTGGATGGCATACAAATTTTATAAATAAATAAATACATAAATTTTACAAACCCATAGCTTATTCACTGTAAACAAACAAGCAAGGTTCCTTACTTGAGGATTATAAATTGTGAAGGATGACAAGAAGCTGCAGTAGCCCTGACTGGAAGGAAGGACCAGGCTGCAATGTGCACTGCAAAAAGCTTTACCACTTTGTACAGCCTTTTTATGACCAGCACTCTCAGAGTAAGTTCTTCACACAATACTCCACAGTTCACTCCATGGGCTACTTCCCAGAAGTCTGCAAGGAGCAGAAGAAGAATTTTCCTTTTGTCTGAGAAATTAGCATTTATTCTCACTTTCTGCCCTTTAAGCAGCTGCTGATCCATAGAAGCTCCCACCCTTCCATTATTTTAAGTTTGCTCAGGAGTCTTTGGTGAGGAATTTAGTCAAAAGCCTTTGGGAATCCAAGTAAACAATGATTACTAGATCACCTCTGTCTATGTGTTTATTTAAACTCTCAAAGAACTCTTAACGGTTTAGTGAGAAAGGACTTACCTTGCAAAAGCCATGTTGATTCCTTTCAGCATAGCTTGTTCCTCTATGTGGTCACCAATTCTATCTTTAATAACACTTTAAACCAATTTTCTCAGAACAGATGCTGAGCTAACTAGCCTATAATTCCCCAGAACCCCCTGGAACTGCTTTTTTAAAAAAATATTAAAATGTTTTGGATACTTTTCTAACAACTGGTGTTACATTGACCATTCTTCAGTCCTCTGATACAGACTGATCTTAGGGCCATAGTACATTATTTTTTAAGAAGGTCAGCCATTTCATATTTGGGCTCTTTAAGGACTCTAAGATGGATAATTCCTGGGCCCAATGATTTATTAACTTTCAGTTTGTCAATTAGGTCGAGAATTCTATCTTTCAGCACTACTATCTGTCTTAATTCCTTTGACTCTCTTCCCGAATACATAAGCTCAGGAATAGGTATCTGTTTTATATCCCCAGCCGTGAAGACAGATAAAAATAATTCGTTCAGCTTCTCTGCAATCTCTTTATCCTCTTTTAGTGCTCCTTTAATTATATTAGCATCCCATGGTCCAACTGCCTCTCTCTCTGGTTTCTTTCTCCTCATATTTTTAAGGAATACTTCATAGTTGGATTTGATGTTGTCAGAGACATGCTATTCTTTGTTGGTCACCTTACTTGTCACTCACCTCTGCAGCCCTCTACATGCTGGAGTCTTTCCTACTGGTACAGGATCCTCCTACATTTTCAAATCCTGATTCTCCAAGAATCTCCTGATTCTCTCTAAACTGCATGGACAGTCTACACAATTAGAGACAACTCTGCACCAAAGATACTTAGCTTCCAACAAAGATATGTATTAACATATCTGTTAGTTGACAGAACCCATGAGTAGTGCTTAAGGGTACAGGTTCAGGACTCAGAAGATCTGAGTTCTAGTCCCTACTCATGGAGCAAACTAGGTGACTTTGGGCCAGTCACAGAGTCTCAGCCCAACCTACCTCACCAGGTTCTTGTTTGGATAAGACTGAGAGCAGGAGGAGAATTATGTAAGCCACCAATGAGTTCCTTGAAATGAAAAAGGTGGTATAAAATATAATAAATAATGTATATCATTTGTCCAGTGCACTTGAGGCTTATCTTCTTTAAATGCAAGGAGAAGAAATTAACTTACTTTGCTGTGGAGCTTGTGAGCATCGTATCTAATCTGGGCAAATTCACGGAGCCCAAAAGAGCCACCAATTATAAGAACCTGAAATATATAAAATGAGGGGATGATGGAATCGAATTAGAAACAAAAACATCACATACAGTTCTGAGAAGCTGCTTGCATGGCATCTGGACTCATCCTGAAGAACCATTGAAGGACTCCAAAACAATGCATGTGCAGTCTTTAAACCAGGTGTCCCAAATATTTGCAGTCGAGTGGGCTCATTTGTAGTACTGAGAGTGTGTAATGTTGACTGTCGCAGAATGGCAGCCACTGGGGTGTGTCCACTTAGAAAACTGGTACCGTGCTTGGGCAGATGGCATGTGGTAGCAGCACCTCTGCCTACCCCAGACACTCTGGCTAGTTAGGACTCCTTGTGAGCCACCCCCACTCCAGACAAGCAGGCCTGAGGCCACCTTCATTCCAGCTCATCACAAAGAATCCTTGCCAGCCCAAATACATGTGTGGGGCACAGTCTACTGGGCCTCTTCTAGATGTCCAACAGAAAGCAATTTGTCCACCTCCCTGACTGTGTGCTAGTTGATGAGCTGCTGCCAGGGAGGGAACCACATTCTGGGATAAGCTGTGTCCTGTAGGGTCTCTACTAGAGGAAGTCCAGTGGCACACTGCCTGGATCCCGAGAGAGAGGGGTGGCTAAGAAGCACCTGTCTGCAATGAAAGTATCCTGTCTGTTGTTTCAGGCCTGCAGCAATTGGGGAAAGGCCCCCACCACAGCAGCCAGCCCTTTCGGCTGGGCCCAGTGGTGGCACCCACTACTTGAACCCGCTCATGACTAGGCTAAATCGATGCACACACCCCATTCCCCCCTCCTTGGTACCACTGTTGGGCAGCAGTGGTGGGAGGAATCTCACTGCTCCCACTATGTCCCCGGTATGAGAGAACTTGAGGCAGGAAGTGGCACCCCAACACCCATGTGCCCAATTGTCTGCTTTCTACAGTGCGGTTTACTGTGTTGTGTGAACTGTCCAATCAATTCACAAGCAGCATAGAGTGCTCAATGGCCCAAGGCAGAAATTAAAATCAAAGCTTAATCTTAGTTAACTGGTACACGTGGAAGTGTGAATGAGCGATATGGATGCCACCTGAGATAGATTTGTTCTGCTTCCCGAGAAACAAAGTTGATTGACCATCCATGTCAACCTTTTCATGCGTATCACCACTTCCTACTTCAGAGTGCTCTCTGATTTTCTTGGTTTCAGCTGCCTTAATATGTTCATCACCTGTAAGTTCCCTACATTTAGCAGCACTAAGGTGCCTTTTCACCAGAGTCCTGTGCCTTCTTTCTATTTTCAAAGTTTTGACTCAGTAAGCTTATTGTGGTATCAAGGTGAAAATGACCCAATTAAGCTTCCAGAACAAGCTGGCAGATTGAAACCAGGAGCCTACTGTATATTATTATGTAGCTTGCGAAATCAATCACCACTGCACCTATACGTTCATTAGTTCAGTTGTCCTTAGCTCCAAACCGCAGAGGATTATGAATCACAGCTATTCAAAAACAGAGGAGAAATAGGCCTATCTGCATAAGGGGAAGTGAAATGAATTCTCTCAGTCAGTGAATGTCATAAAAAGCAAATCACTTTTTAAAATGTGTAACCTTTACCATGCCCTGCTGCAGTGTGACTAGGTCATATATATTCATGCCGAACCAACCAACAATGTTGGTTGTTGGGTAGATGCATGCATGACCAGATTTGTGCATCATGGGCCTAGTGAAAACCCATTTGACAAAACAGGAAGACAGGCAAGCCATGGATTCAAATTTAACGCTGCTAAAAGAATTGCTCAAATGCTAGATTTACTAGATTACTTTAAAAACACTAACATGCATGGTGTAAAGTTTATAACTAATGGAAGTTCAACCTCATGGAAACAATGAAAACAACTGGGCTAAATTTGAGTAGAATGGAACCTGGGTACATTTTGCGGAAGCTTCTACCATCTGCATTAAATACCTCTCCTTGTCAGCATTTACCAAGAGGACCTAGAAACATGGGGAAAGTGAGGTAAACATTGACCTTATTTTGATTTGTCTTTCTGACATTGGCTATACAGCATGGTGACATCCCATTAACAATACAATTTTTAAGAGGCTGGAAGTCACCATCCCAGGTACAAGATGATGCAGTTTTAACATACAATGATGAGAGTGAAGTACAAACTTTTAACACTAGCTAAGCAAAAACCAAATAAGTTTCAACACAAGGTATATTTTTAATGAACACATATACACATTTGTTTTAAATTGTTATTACCACAATAATAGCTTACACAGGTGGACATCAGCTGCAGTTTTGCTCTCCACTGATTCTCTGTGTTTATGGATTTCAGGTTTGTGAGCAAAGCCAGAGTAACATGCTGTATGACTAGCAATTGTGCTAGACTAAAACAGGTGCACTGGAAAGTTTGCTCTTCACAATCATCAGAAAACAACACTTAATTTTTGCCAGAGCCATTAAGACCAGTTTGTCTCACATAGAATTTACAAAATGTGTGTTGGGGTATTTATGTTCATGTTATTTATATCAAGTTACATCTGTATGTTATAACCTAACTCCTGATGGCAAAAGGCACTGGGCAAGGGCCCGTCATAAATGGAAGGAAGAGTAAGCATGGCAATCACAGCCATCAAGTGAAATAGTCACGCAGGTTATGACAGCTACCTAAGAAAGACCTACTCAAAATGAAAATCAGCAACCCCAAGACCAGTTCGTTTTAGCTTACCAGGAAACTTGCATGGCACAGAAACCGCAAAGGCAGAACCAGAGTTGTTTCCAGCAGTGTATAAAAAGCAGGCTGCTGTGCCACAGAGCACAAAACCTTGTTTTACTTGATTGCTGCTGTCCTTTGTTGCAGAATAAAGCTGATCTTTTTGATCTTGGTTCTAACTGGTGTGTTAATCGGTCCTGGCATGGCAGCTAGAGCCCTAGTCCCAGGAAGCTAGCCTCCTTGGGACTAACACTCTGACCAAATTGAAACTATCCAATATTGGACCACCAGAAGAAAAATAACAGGAAATCTATACCTATCTATGCAAAACTAAGTCCTACCAAGTTGAATGGGGCTTAAAGGTAAAGGGAAAGGTTTCCCCATGACAGTAAAGCCGAGTCATGTCTGACTCTAGGGGGTGGTGCTCATCTCCTTTTCCTAGCCAAGGGAGCCAGTCAGTGTTTGTCTACAGACAGTTTGCGTCATTATGTGGCCAGCATGACTAAACGCCAAAGTGCACAGAACACTGTTACCTTCCCACCGAAGTGGTACCTTTTTATCTACTTGCATTTGTATGCTTTCGAACTGCAAGGTTGGCAGGAGGTGGGACGGAGCATGGGAGCTCACCCTGTCTGCGGATTCAAACTGTTGACCTTTTGCTCAACCAGTCCAGCAGCTCAGCAGTTTAACCCACTGCACCATTGCACAGCACAGAAACCGCAAAGGCAGAACCAGAGTTGTTTCCAGCAGTGTATAAAAAGCAGGCTGCTGTGCCACAGAGCACATAACCTTGTTTTGCTTGATTGCTGCTGTCCTTTGTTGTGGAATAAAGCTGAACTTTTTGGCACTTCTTGGTTCCAGCTGGGGTGTTAATTAGTCCTGGCATGGCAGCTAGAGCCCTAGTCCCAGGAAGCTAGCTTCCTTGAGGCTAACACTCTGACCAAATTGAAACTATTCAATATTGGCCCACCAGAAGAAAAATAATGGGAAATCTATACCTATCTATGCAAAGTGGAATTGGGCTTGCTCACACTTAAATGCATAGGATTCCAATCTAAATTAAACTATGCAAAGCCCACAAAAGAAATTTATGTAAGTTCCAGAGAAATCACTCTGACATGTGTGATTGATTATGGTGCCCCCTTTGGAGGGAGACACAGCAATAATATGATACCATATTAATGGCATAAAGCAGCAAAGAACTGAACCAACTTCTGATGAGAGTGAAAGAAGGAAATGCAAAAGCGGGAATGAACATTGCAATGAACATTAAGAAAAGAAAAACCATGAATACAGAACTACACAACTTTCAGGTCAACAATGAAGAAACAGAAATTGTGAAATATTTTGCTTTGCTTGGCTCAGTCATCAATTCAAAGAGAGACTTGAGCCAAGATATTAGAAGAAGACTAAGAAGGCCAGAAATGAAGGAACTAGAAAAGCTCATCAAGTGTGCGAATGTTGCATGAAATTAATGGTGTTGCCAAGATAATCCACATTATTGTATTCCCAATCGCTATGCATGGGTGTGAAAGCTGAACAGTGAAGAATAGCTGACAGAAAGAAAATTGAAGCATTCAAAACATGATGCTGGAGGAGAGCTTTGCAAATGCCCTGGAATGACAGAAAGACAAACAAGTGGCTCCTAGATCTAATCAATCCAGAACTTTACCTAGGAGCAAAAATGACAAAATTAAAACTGTCATACTTCAGGCTCATCCTGAGAAGACAAGATACACTAGAGAAGAGAATAATTCTAGGGAAACTCAAAAGCAAAAGAGGAGGAAGAGCAGCTATGCCATGAATTGACTCCATAAAGGAAGGCAGAGCCATAAATCAGCAAGAGCTAATTAGGGTTGTCAAGAATGGGACATATCAGAAGTCATTCACTATAGGGTCACTGTTGGCAATGATTTGACAGCACAGAACAGCAATAACATGAAAAGGTCAGGATGCACTGACCTACAAGGAGAAAGCCTCGGAAATGAAAGTACCTAGTTTTACCAGAATTGGGTCAATAATGAAGGAAAATTAAGTCCAGAGTATTAATTGGCTCCAGTTTCCAAGATACAGCTTCAGGTCGAAATTGCATCAAAATAATTCAAAATTATGAGGGGGATGTGCGATTATGCTCCCTAACTTTTCTGCAAAATGTGATATGAGAATGGTCATTTAGTTCACTCTGTGAAATAAGATGTGGTTCAGGAGGAGCATTGTTGTTGTTGTTGTTAGTCGCGAAGTCATGCCCGACCCATCGTGACCCCATGGACAACATTCCTCCAGGCCTTCCTGTCCTCCACCATCCCCCGGAG